AAGTGAAAAATGCACTTAATACACTTAACTGATTGAACATCATAGCTTAGCCTAAACTACCTTAAATGTGCTCAGAACACTTACATTAGCCTACAATTGGGCAAAAACATCTAACACAAGACTATTTTATAATAAAATGTTAAATGCCTCATGTGGTTTATTGAATACTGTTGTTGTTTAGTCATTAAGTCATGTCCAACTCTTTCCAACCCCATGGACTGTAGTCTGCCACTCTTCTATCCATGGATTACCCAGGCAAGGATATTGGAGTGGGTTACCATTTCCTTATCCAGGGGATATTCCCGACCTAGGGACTGAACCCACATCTCCTGCATTGCATGCGGATTCTTACCCCTGAGCCACCAGGGAAGCCCCTATTGAATACTGTACTGAAAGTGGAAAACAGAATGCCTGTATGAGTATAGAATGGTTCTATGTGTATCAGTTGTCTACCCTCATGATCATGCAGCTGACTGGGAACTACAGCTTGTGGTCGCTGTCCAGCACCACACCACTAACCCCAGGGAAAAAAATCAACAAAATTCAAAACTTTAAGTACAGTTTCTACTGAATGTGTATAGCTTTCTCATCATTGTAGTCAAAAAATCAAATAAAATTATTGTAGGTCAGGGACCACCTATAACCTGCTATAGATTTGGATCACAGCAGGGAGACACAAAAGCACATTTATTAGGTGATGGGTGCCAGGGAGACTGAGGCCCCATTGCTCACTTGAGGAGGCCATAACTCACAAGTCATTATCACTATGACCATGATGTAACATGGTACAAAAATGGAGAAGGCTCCAGATCCCCATAACTTCACCATCTCTTGCTTAATTTCCTTTGACCATCCTGACAGTTCCAAGCTTTTTGTCTTCCCAATAAAGCTTCCTAAGAGCTGACTACACTATTCCCTCTACTTTCTCACCTCTAGTTCCTTTTGGCACCTTCACTCAAAGGCTGAAGAGTTTGGACTCGAGAGCAAAGCTGCTCACTTCCTGCTGTGTGGCCTGGTTCCTAACAGACCACAGACCGGTACTGGTCCATGGCCCAGGGGTTGGGGACCCCTGCTCTAAAGTCCAACTGCCTCCATTACCTTCTATAAGAATAAGTGCAGAGGACTGGGCACCCCTACTGTGCCTGTATTCTCATCTATGAAAAGGCAATAGTGGTGATATCTACCCTTTAATGTGGTCATGGTGCTACATGGGTCAATGCATATGCCTGGTACGTGGGACACACAGTGCAATCCACTACTCTTACAATAGGGCTGGGGGCACATTTGCCCTGCTCCACCATTAGCATTAACCCTCCTGTTCTCTCTCCACTATTGCCTCATCTAGTAGGTGATCTTGCACAGAGAAACTGGTAGGCATGGCCAGCCCTTCTTTTGGGGGCTCCTTTGAATGAGGAGCCTTACAGGTCCCTCACTGCCACAGACTGCATAGGGAAGCAGGACCCTGGACCCACTTGGCCAAGGACACAGGCCATATACTCAGAGCAGCTTTTCCAGTGATAAAGCAAGTATTTGGCACCCAACTACCTTATTGCATTTATTTCTCAATTAAGAAGTCAGGTCAGGAAAGGCAGTCTCACACCTGGACAATCTTGTCAAAGCGTACATGGTGGCTCCTAATGGCCCATCTACCATCTAAGATCACCAGGGTCACTCCTCTGCCCTCCTGTCCCTTTAACTGCTGGCCTTCACCTTGCCCCTTAAAGGTCAAGATACCCATTTCCCACTCAGTTTCTCCCCTCCCTCCCCCCTGTTAGCATCTTCTCCATCCCTCAGTTGACTTGGTCCTCAGCTGGTTATAAATGCAGGCTCACCTCTGGTAGGGCTCAGTTGAAAGCCTTCACTCCACCTCCGCAGCCTTTGAAGTTATCTTTTCCCCAACCTGACTCCACCGGATGTTTCACAGGCTGCCAGCCCAAACGTACTCAAACTCCTCCTGATCCACAACAGGTCAAGCCCTGACTTGAGAGTCACCTTTTACCTATGTTAAATTTTAATTTCAGACAATTGACAATACGTATGTCCTAAACACTGCAGGGAGGCAAAAACACTGTCTTATCTGGAACTCAAGTTTAACTGGGCACCCTGTTTATTTGCTAAATGCCATAATCCTACTTGTCGCTCCCCTTTATTTATGCTCATGTCCAGGATTGGCAGCACCATCTCATCTATACCACCAGTGGCTGACACACCCACCCCACCCTGCAGAGAGCCCTTCCTGGCTTGCAGATTGGTGGTTGTCGGGGGTGGGGGATAGTGTTGCCAGACACCACTAACCTGGTGTGCATTCACCCCAGCCCTGTGGCCATAAGCCTTCCCTCCTCTCATGGCTGCAAGTTTGATCATTCTCATCCTTCACCTCCCAAGAGACCTTCCCTGACTACTCCATCAAAATGCACCTTGCTTCACCCTGCTCCTCCTTTCTCTCCATCTTCACCCCTTTCTCCTCTTCCCTCCCCTGAAAGGGACAATAAACATTACTGTTACATAAACTATTTTATTTAAATAAAATCAGGGGCAGACCCTTTCCCCTCATACACACAGGCACATGCATGCACGCACGCACGCCCACGTCCTCCTCCATTTTCCCTCCACCATGGCCACCTCAAACCTGGCAGTTCTCATCATGACCATCCTGTTTTAACCCTGGGACAGGGAGACAACCTCAATTTGAAGGCCTGCTCCCCACCCCCCACCCCCCCTAGTTGATGGCAGCAGCACACAGGCCTAGGCACAAATTCTCCTGTCCAGAGTCCAGCTCTCAGCCCTCCTGGGGTGGGACAGGAGGATCGGTTCCCCAAGGCACCCAGATCCAGTGTAGCTTCCCTGCCATTCCCCCACACAGCATGGGAGTGCCATCAGACACCTGAAACTGCTCCCTATGGAGGGTGGGTTCCCTCACCGCAGGCCAACCCTGCCCTGTATCAGCAGAGGTTCTGCAGCCAAACCTGAGCATCCCCCAAGAGATCCTGGACTAGGTATGGTTTGGTTTTGGGAAGAGTGAGGGAGAGCAATTGAGCACCAAATTCCCTAACTCCACCCTGTAGAAGAATGCTGAGATTTGGCTCAGCATCCTCTACCCAGAAAAAGTAAACAGACCTAACTCCACAGCAGAAATGGGAAGAGCTTCAGCCGTCAGAACCTCACTACATCTCCACCCCCCAACATGGACCCACTAGCACCTTGGCAATGTTGGACACAGCCCAGCTGGGGAAACGCAACGCACACAGGAGCCTGTTTGGAGTTGGTAGTGTCCCCTCTGTTGACAATGGGATTGGGCTTCACCTTCCCTGACACCAGTATCCCTCAAGTCCTGCTTTGAGGCACAGATGGCTTCGGTCATGAGGAGGGAGTACTGAAGGGATGGGTGGTGTCTTCCAGAGGCACACAGTCCTGCAGCACTTCTTACATGTTACCCACGAGCAGGCTGGGACAGAGGATGGGCTGCTGGGCTGCTGGAGGGTTCCACAGCATCCCAGGAACCACCTGGGAGATGAGTAGGTGGGAGGGGGACCCATCCATTCACTCAAGCTGGGGGGACCAAGATGCTGGGACCCAGATCCAGTGCCCACCTTCTCTGATGCTTTCCCTGTGCCGCCCAGACAGATTTCCCTGAGGGGAAAAACCAGACAGAAGTCAGAAAGAGGGCAGCAGACAGACAGACTATGAAGGACCAACACAGGGAAAGGAGATGTCAGAGCCAAAGATAAGCCTTCTGAAAGGGTAAGGCAAAGAGAGCTGCCACCTGTGGGGGGCAGGGCCAGGTGAGAAAGCCAGGACATATACAACAGACTCAAGACACAGCCAACCTGCCCTCTCTGAGGGAAGCAAGGACCCGAGGAGAGGGAGCTAGGAACCTGCAAGGCCCTCCTTGGGCCAGTGGTGGTATGAATGCATCAGCCACCCTGAGCACGGGGTTACAGGCTGATACTGCGCTGGTGGCGACCTCCACGACCCCCACTCCGAGGTCCCAGCTCCTGGCCATCTAGACTGGTGTGGTCTGAGAGACCCCGCAGGTGCTCCACGGAATCGCATTTCTGCAGGTCCGAAGCCACAGTGCGCAGGCTCAGCAGGCTCAGCGTGTCGGTGTCCGGGGCAGGGCCAGGCCCCAGGCTGACGCCTTCCTCCAGCCCTCCACCCTCCGCCCCCTCAATGATCCCGCTGTCCGCATCCTCGCCACCATCAGGCCCAGCTTCCGCCCCCACTGGAGAGGAGCGCCTCTGGCCCAGGGTATGAGCAGGCTGGCCCCGGCGCCGCGCATGAATCTGCTCGCTGATTTGCTCCAGGTTGCGCAGGGCGACTGAGTAACGGGTCTTGGCCTGGGCCACCTGCTGCTCCAGCTCCGTCACCTTGGCCTTGTGCTCCTGCAGAAGGAGGGTCAGAGTCAGGTGACTCTTTGGGCAGCTGTCTGAGGCCCCTGGAGCTGCCAAGTCCTCTCAAACCCACTGAGATGTCCCGTTCCCAATCTGGGCTCTGCTCATCCCCAACCACTCATCTGCAGTGCAGAACCAACCCTACCCAGCCCCTCTCCACTCCTCTTTTTCCTGGGATCCTCCTTCCCCAGCAACCTGCCCTGGTCCTGCCTGACATTCCAGGGCCTTCCTCCTAGGTCTTCATTCCCACCCACTGTTTCTCCTCTTCCCATTGTTCCCTTTCCCTGTCTGGCCAATTCTTCGCTCCCCATTCTCTCTGGTTTCCCCCAATTCTCACTTCTCCTTTACCTCCCTTCTGTCAGCATCCATTCTCCAACCCCAACTCCCGTTCCTGTGGAGTCATTCTGAACATACCTGTCCCACTACACGGGCCTGGTGGATGGCGCAGAGAAACAGACTAGTGTTCCCTCTACCTGCCCTCCCTTCCTAGCCTGCCCCCTCTCCCATCCTTCCCCCGACCTCCACCCCCATCCCCCACTCAGCTACCTCCAGGATCTGGCTGAACTGGGCCTTGAGCTCAAAGTAGGGCCGGCTCTTGCCAATGGCACGGCGGAGGGTCTTCTGCAGGGCCTGAACCCGAGCCTCGGCCTGCTGGCACAGCCGCGTCACCCGCTGGTGCTCCCGCTCACCACGAAGCCGCTCTTCCTCTGCCTCGTTCACCTGGGCCAAGTGGGGCGGAGCACACACATCACTGAACACACACCCTCACTCCTGCCCCGTCTTGTCACTCCAAATGTTAAACTGTCTACAGAGCCCAGAGACGGCACTGAGCTGCCAAGACACAAGAGAACCGTGGGTCCTCGCGCCTGCCTACTGTTAGCCGCACCACCCGCCACCTCTCAGCTTTGTTGCTGCCAGGAGGTGCTGAGGTCCTCTAGCCTGCTCACGAGCGTGCAGGAAATGTCCATCCATCTGTGACACATCTGCCACATCATGGTTCTCAGAGCTCAACCTTGGGGGTTGGGGGGAGGGAGGAGCCTCACTGGGAGAGCCACAGCTCTGCACTGGGTTCTCTAGGTTTCCATGTCCAAGCAGCTAACAGGCAAGGGCTCCAGCCACCGCATCCACCAAGACCAAGGAGTCGACCTCACGCACACCCAGACTCAGCAACCCCTCCCCCAGGGCTGTGTGAGTTCCAGAGGAGTGGAACTCCTGCCCTCATGTGACCCATGGGCCTGGACTAAGGAGGAGCACACAAAAAAGCTTGAGACATGACCACTCATCAGGAGCTGACAATCCTACAAAATAAATGATTGTGTCCCCTCAA